CCAGGCACCTCCTGTTAAAAACTAGTTGGTTAGCAGGTGACAGGAAAGACCTCCCTTTGCCCGAGACCCCAGATACTTTATCTATTTTATGAATATTTATTCTATTTATTTGATTTCTATCCTGCCCATTAGCCAAAATGTTTCTGGACAGTAAGCAATGTTACTTCACTAGATGGGCAAATATTCTAACATGGTATGAGAGGGATTATGTTCCTATTAGATTAACAAGAGACATCCCTGTAGGGGGTTTTCTCCACACAGTTTGGACGTGAGCAGGGAAAGGGCTCATAGGAAGTCCCCCATCCAGCCAGGTGGCTTTTCCAACTTTTCCCACCCCTTTGCCAACTGTTGATCAGAGAGAAGTGCTTTCTTTCTCCTGCACAGCCCTGCAAAAGGCTCACTTTCTTGATGTTCATCAGCAGTTGATCAGAGAAAGGAGCTTTTTTCAGAGGGGCTGGACGAAGAAGCTGCTCCATTCTGCTGCCTTCTGATCCATCTCCTGCTTCCTTCCAGGAAGTCATGTGGAGGCTTGCTCTGCTTAGGAAACGTGATTCCTATTTTAAATTGGTAACAAAAGAATTTGAGGGAGGGGTTGGATTGTTTGGCTCTACCCATTTTGCTTTGGCCCTGCCCACTGCCAGAATGTGACCCCTGGGAACAACTCTGACATGCAAGCTGGCACTTGGTCCAAAAAGGGTCCCCCAACCCTGCTACACAATATCCCATGACACAACGACTGAGGATCTGAACTGGATAGTCCAGAGGAAATGTCAACTTAACCATGTCCTGAGCAGGCTGAGAAATGAGGCTGATGTCTAAGTATAACACTGGTCTACAAATTTTGGGAAAGTATCAACCTCTGAGATAAAATGCACCAATTCTTACATATTTTGATTAGATGAATTAGAAAACAGGTGACAAAGGTGCTGGTTGGCTAAAGTTTTCAAGATTTATACACAGGCGAGTATATTTGCCACCTCCAAGGGAGGGAGGTATCCGATGATCATGATGCCTTGAAACTTCTACCATAAGTACGGTAGAGCTATGAAAATGATACCACATGGAAGTGTATAAATTTATCTTCACTTTGAGACTAAAGAATATTACGTAACTGTAATTTATTGTTCTTTCACTGCAAGGTACATTTGTCTTGGTCAGCTCTACGCATCACAGAGTTCCATCTGGTGGCTTTTGGAAGTGTCATTGCCTAACATTTCCAAGGAACAGTTGCCTGATATTTTCCCTCAGAAGCCAAGATGCCTCGAAACTGTGCAAACAACGCAGATAACTTCTGCCACATTTGTGGAGTGATTGTATTTGCACCTCAAAAGTGCAGTATGACGGCAGTGGTAACAAAGGCATCCCACCTATATTTTGGATGCAAAATAGGGGTCCAGGACAAGAGTTGGGCCCCTCATTCTTGTTGCATTACATGTGCAACGGATCTGGATCATTGGCTAAAGAAGAAAAAGTCCACGCCTTGCGAACTCCCAATGCTGTGGAGGGAACCCACCAATCATAGTAGTGACTACTATTTTTATATGGTTCCCCAATTGCAAAAGGGATCTCAAGAAAAGTGGACCATGGAATATCCAAACATTCCATCCGCACTGCGTCTGGTACCCCATGGTGAGGACTTGCCAATTCCAGATCTACCAGAATCCTACACTCTAGACTCAGATGATGATAAAGATGATAATTTTGAATTATTTTGATGCAATTTTGACCTAGAGGTGTATCTTGTAAACTGGGGCCAATTAATACTCAGGACTTACTTTTCCTTTATTAGTGACCTAATTCTGGTAAAATTTCCTCTCCAAAGTTTTCTCCTTGTAGACTAGTGTAAGCTGACCAGCTGACCCACTGCCATCCGCTCCAAAGTGACATTCATGTTTGTTTTGAAACTGATTGGCTAAGGAATCAAAATTACATGTGAAGCTGGTCTTAAAAGGAGATGAAGCATCAGTCCATCTAGCTCAGAGCTACCCCAGAAGACTGTAAGAGCAGCTCCGCAGGACCTAATCCAGAGTGCATCCAGTTTGATATTCTGTTCAGAGTGGGCAGTTAGCTGCCCATTATAAACCCACAAGGATAAAGGAGCCACAGGACCCTCATACCCACATTCCACAGCAACTGGTATGCACAGGCATCCTGCCTCTGATCAAGACACTTGATCAAGTAGCCACTTGATTGCCTTCTCCCACGTGCACTTTAAAGCTACCCCCAACCGGGGCTGTTACTACTTCTTGTGGAAGTGAATTCCATAGCTGGGTAAAGAACTTCCTTTAATCTCTCCTGGATCTCCCACCAATCAGTTTCATGGAGGACCTTTAGGATCCAGTATGATGTGCGGGGAAGGAGGAAAAGTTATCCTTCTCCACTTTTTCCACACTTTGTAGACCCCAATCACATCTCCTTTTCCCTGCCTTGTTTCCACATTAAGTTAATAAGGATCAGGGTCTTCCCTTCTCCTGCCCGGAGATGCTGTGACAGAGCCAAAGCATGTGCTCCGTCACTGCACTGGGGCACTTCCTTAAACCTCTCTATACACAGACAGCAGCTGTTTCCAAAGAATGCAAGGGGAGGCAAACTTGAGCAGTCACATGCCATTCCCAATTTTTATTTTGTGTTTTCTGCCCTGCAGCACTCAGTCATGAGTAGGCACATGGCTTTTTATTTTTTTTTAAATTTCCAAAAGAAGGGCATAACACGTTTTGTATCACAAAGAGGTAAAGGAACTTTACTGGATGAAGGAACTGTAGGAAAAGGAAGAACAGGAGCACAAATGGATTCTCTGTGTTTCCGTGCAGACCCCACGAACCACCCCTTTCAGTGGCTCAGCTGCAAGTCAGGATCTGCCAGTTTGAGTTATGCCTTACTTGTTGTTGTTAGTCGTGAAGTTGTGTCCGACCCATTGTGACCCCATGGACAACATTCCTCCAGGTCTTCCTGTCCTCCACCATCCCCTGGAGTCCACTTATGCCTTACTAGTGGGTCTAAAAAAGCTGCGCACTAAGCCTCAGCCTCAAACCTGCGGCATGAGGAAGCCACTGCCCCACTTCATAGGCCTGTTCTAAGTATCCCAAGGTAACAGCAGCTTTCAGATTTCACAACAAATTGATTTGTTGAGAGTGACATGCCCATTGAGCCTTGAACTCATCTCCCCTTTCTTCTGTGTGAGCAAAGGAGATTCAAACCTTTCACTTGGAACAAACCAGTGTTTCCTGTATTCAAGGCCTCTTTATGGCAGCCAAATGCAGGCACTTTATGTTACATACATGGAACATTCAAAAGGCAGAAACGTGATGTATATTTTGAGTTCAAGGAAGTGTTGAAAAAGTGACCCAAACTGACCAGAGAATCCAACTTCCTAAGTATCAGAACGTCTACCTGCCCCACTGAAGCCGGAGGACATGTTAGCTCGCATAAGCTCAGAACGTCCAGAGAGCTTTGGCAACTGGGCCACTGAGAAATGGAACAAATAAGCCACTAAAATTGTGCTGCAACATACACAGGCAAAGATTGTGGAGAGCGAAGGCCAGTCAGTGGCTGAAGAAGATTCCTATTGATTTGTGGTGGGTTTCAGACCATCTACTAGTATAACCAGACTAAGTTGTACAGAAGAGCAGCAAAGTAAAAGTCCCAGAAGCAGACCAGAGTAATTAAGCAGATTCTTTTTAAAAAATTATTATTACACTGTGTTTATATCCTGCCTGTCTCCCTCTTGGAAGGAACCCAAGGTGCACAGGAACCCTGGATTTGCTCAGTTTCCTTGGCCTACAATGTGAATTAACATAGGAAGCTGCCTGACTCCAAGTTAGAGCAGCGCTGTACCATCTTGCCCCCAACCTAGTGCCCACCCCCCAGATGTGCTGATCTGAAACGCCCAACATTCCCATTCAGCATGGACGACCATTAGTGATAAAGGGAGCTTCTGGAAGGCAGCAGGTCCCTGCTACCTGGCAGAAGCTCACCAGGGGCTGAGAAGGGTCTCTTCCAGTCCCACCTCAAGGATTGCGTGGATTGGCCTTCGAATTTGCCATGTACAGAACAGGTGCTCTGCCACAGAGTAATGGCTTTCCCCCAAATCACCCTTTGTCCAGGACTCTTAGCTTCTTTTAGCAGGGGGCAAGTAATGAACCTTTGCTTAGGAAACATTTACAGATGAAAATGCGTTTCTACATTTATGTATTTGCAAATAGCAATGTGGCACATAAATGGAAGGGCAGCTTTCTCCATGCAGTGTGAGTTCCCAGAACTGTTAGCATTTAAGAGTGGTCTGAAAGGAACAAGCCTTCTTGTTCCCGGGAAGGAACATGGCCACCACAAAGCTTATTTGCAACAGTTGTCATCTTTATGAAAAGGTAAATGCAGCATTCAAATGGATGACTTGGCCACTCTTATTTAGCCAAATGTTTAAGAAAAGATAATTCTGTTTTGAATTCAGACAGACATCCAGCCTATGTTCTGTTTCGTACAAGACCTTCACTTGTGTCAATAAAGGGCCTACTCATTACCCTGCAATTGTTCTTGAAGGACAAGAAATCAATGTCTTGGACCCTAAGATGACGATACAAGGAAGTATTGGGAAGCAAAGTTTTGCATGCCCTCTTCACCTCTGCAGACAGCAATACCCTCCCCAAAAGCCCCTCAAATGCTGGAAGCCCTGCAATGGGACAGAATCACCCCAAGTGGATCTCTGGCCATTTCTTTCATCACACAAGAAACTTTCTGGGAAATGTGGGCACAGGTGGGTGGGGGGTGGAGGTGGGCGGGAGGCAGTCTGCAGGAGGGAGGAGGAAGCAGCCAAGTCTCCATCCATGGACTTCCTTAGGTTAACATATGTTAGGATTCCATCCTATATTTTGAATGCTATGCAAACAGTATGTCTACAGGCCATGAGAACATTTGAATACAAATCATTAATAGCTGGTGAAAGATTATGCAGACTTGAGACATTGAAGCATATCCGGCTGGCTTGCAGAAGCTGCCTTACTTACCCGACTCCGCAGATAGTCAGCCAGGTTTCGGCGTGTGAAGTTGGCAGCTGCAGTTGGAGACAGCTCATATCCTGCCATTAAGAGAAGGGCACAGTTGTAAAGTTCTAAACCAAACAGAAACATGATCAGGAGAAGTTTACTTTCTCCTGAAAGTAAGACAATTATTTCAGCTCACTTTCACAGGACAGAGAAATCTGCTTAGAGGGCCCTTGAGCCAAGTTGGTGGAAAATAAATCTAACAAATAAATACTGATTTGAATACTGTTGTGATCATCATTATTAATACTACTATCTGCGTACACAGCCTTTTACAAAGGACAGGAAGGGCAGATCCCTGATGAAAGGGGCTTACAGTCAAAAAAGAGACTCAGAGAAATAACAGGAAAAGAGTAAAATGGAGGCAGGGGTAGGATATGGAGGCAATTTCTCTACTCTGGTTTAGTTACAGCACAGTACAAGTGAGGAAGTGAATAACCACAGCAACAGGACAAAGATGTCCCAAGCTCTTGGAAACAGAACAAGAAACGTTCTGCAACATATGGGAGAAATCTCAGCAGCCATGACCCTTGGCCATTTGGGGGGGGGGGTGCTTTGGTTATCTCTGATGAGGGTTAGCACTTCCAAAATTGCTCACTTTCCAGCCCTATGCTTACAAAAAAAGGAATGGAGGGAATAAAAGATAGCTAGTAATCCTTAGGTTGTGCTCACACAAACAGAGATGAGGGGGCAGGGTTACCAGGGGCTTATGAAAGAATTAGGGTGTTACTCAAAACAAGCAGAACAATGTGGTGCCACCCTGTTGGGACTCAAGCACCTCAGACTTGGGTGAGTAGGGCTTGCATATTCAAAGGAATTTTTGAATATGAAAACTAGCACTTCAGGGGGAAATGTGTATTCTAACCTTCCTAAAGTGCTGGTTTTCATAGAGAAGAGAAGCCGTGTCTGGTTTTAAACATCTGGAGCACTTCGAAATGATAACCAGCACAGTCCTTAGTCACCTGGTGCCCTTCAGATGCATTGGACTACAGTTCACAGCCTACCCTAATCTAGGGCTGGAATGATCCTCCTCAGAATCCATCCTGTCCATCATACTTGTTCTCAAGCTCAGCCTCCACTTAGAAAGTGAGCCAAGCCGAGGCAAATATTCACAGAAGTCCAGCTGCACAACCAGCAACCTTCTTCCACAGCACATGGAGCACAAATGAAGGCATCGAGTCCCATGTGAGGAAGAGCAATGCTGTCTGCATGGGCTCAGTTCCTGGCGGGAAACCATGTGAATGCTTCGTCTGCTCACCAGGAAGCCGGACTCAGGGCTGCAAGAAAGTGAGTTGGAGTCCGGGAAACCAAAGCCGAGGTATCTGACAGATTCTCACCCACAAAACAGATTCCTCACACATCCCTACGTTATGTGATTGTTCTGATCATGCAGACTGGCTCTTAAATACTCCACAGCAGCAGGGATGCAAGAAACTGACATGTTTACCTTTGCTATGTTTCTCTGTTGGCTCCCTGCAGTGTTATTCCAAGGAGGGAAAACAAAAAATGGAGCATGGGATATAGGAAGATGTGAGCTGAACGAGCTCTATACTCTGCCCATAGGTCCAATCAAGTCGCATATCAAATACAGGGTGAAGATGCTGACCAGGCAGCAAAAATCCAATCATGTGTGTAGAATTTTGAGAAGTACACAGGTCATAACTGCAGAAATCTAGACATCGAGATTTTAGTCTACACATGTAAGCACGCAGCGCCAGCCACACTCACCATTCCTCATCTTGTAAAGCTGGACATTTTTCTGGATGTATTCTGCAAACTGGACAGTGTCACCAGCCTCTCCAACACACAGCAGCAAAATGTTCTCACTCATCTTGAACATCTTGTCATGATCTAAATTCATATGGAGGAAGGAGAGAAATACACACACACATAAAAGTGTTGGAAATAAGAATGAGTTCATGCAAAGTATTCATAGTAAGCCAGAAGGAAAGGGAAACAAGCAGTGACTCTTCCAGTGGGCCCAAGGGCCCTTTCCCCCCACTTCACTGCCGAATGGAAAGGTTGGGTATTTTACAGGGGTGTGAGAGTTCATAGATCACAGAACAGTAGAGTTGGAAGGGCCAAGAATGCACATCTGGATGTGCTGGTAGATTTCTGGGTGACTTGCAAGGAGATCAGCAAGGAGATATCTCACCCAATTGTTTAATAGCAGCAGTATTACAAAACAACCCCTGGCAACCTAAACTACAGAACAGCATGAAGATACACTGGAGTAACAAAGGGTGGATTTTTGTGTGGAAGAAGTCTGAGTTCCACTCAGTTCCAGTACTCAATTCAAATTTTTGGCCTCAAAATTATTTGATTTTACACAAAGCAAATGAAATTCATGAAGTGATCGTGGAAGTCTTAGTAGAGAACAAAGGAGTTCCTGCAAGCCAAAGGTCTGTCCAACTTCTACATTTGGGATTTCAGGACCACTAAGTGTAGAGATCTTCATGCACATCCATTTAGGACATGACAGACAGTGAACAAGACGTCAAGAGCTTATTTGTATTGTGAATGCTCAACAAGGTAAGGTCAGCCTCCACTAAAGCACTGACAAACAATGTTGTGTTTGCTTCTGGATTGGACCAGAGAACAACATTGCACTCAATCTACACCTACCAATTTAACCTACTGTATACACCAAGAAGGTTTATTTCAGCCACAAGCCAGATTTCCTTTTGGAGAAGCCCTCCTGAGGGCCAGCCACATTAGAGAGGTAGGTGAGGACACAGGTAAAAGTGGCAGTGTTAGATGCAAAGAAGGTAGAGACACGCACTGGTGACTTCCCGCCTAGACTTCTGTAACGCGCTTTACGTGGGGCTTCCCCTGAAGATGGTCCGAACACTTCAATTGGTGCAAAATAGAGCTGCCAGGTTGCTGACGGGGATGGGGCGTTATGCTCACATGACTCCAGTCCTCCGTCAGCTTCACTGGCTGCCCATTGAAGCCCAGGCCCAATTCAAGGTGTTGGTTATGACCTATAAAGCCCTAAACGGCTTGGGTCCTGGCTACCTGAACGAGCGCTTACGTCCGTATATGCCCGACCGCCCCTTGAGATCTGCGGGAGAGGCCCTTCTCCGGGAACCCTCCGTGAAGGACATTAGGAGAGTAAGTACTCGGAGGAGGGCTTTCTCTGTGGTGGCGCCCAACCTATGGAATTCACTCCCCAAAGAGGTCCGCCTGGCACCGTCGTTACTGGTTTTTTGGCGCCAGGTAAAGACCTTTTTATTTTAACATCATTTTAATTGTTAAAATATATGATCTGGCCAGGGCAACTTCTTCCTTCTCTTTTCTCCTCCTATATTCTTTATTTACTTATTTTATACTGTTAATTTTAATTTTATATTATTATGTTTGTATCTCAGTGTATTTTTTGTATTTTTGTATTTAGTGGTAATTTATTATGTTCTATTGTATTTCAATGTATTTTATTGTGTTGTAAGCCGCCCCGAGGCTTCGGCAAGGGGCGGCATAGAAATGTAATAATAATAATAATAATAATAATAATAATAATAATAATAATAATAATAGAGACAAAGTATCAAAAGCAGCAGTGTATTTTAGTTTAAGCCACTTACTGCCAGTAATTGAACCTCAGCAGAGGCATTTCATTCTTTTACAACTTGGAAAAAACTGCACAAAATCCATAAAACAATCAAAAACTGGAGGTTGGGGGAAAGAGGAGTGGCGATCTGGAGAACCCATGAGGGTTTGATTTAGTAGTAAACCTGAAGTACAACACCCCTAGTATATGCCACCCTCGATGACATTTAGCAGCCTTCTCCTTATTAGAATGTGAGATGGGGTCACTGCATATTTAGCAGCTCACCAAATCTGATCCACCCTTCTGTAACATACACACAGTAGCCCATTTAATCTCAGACCTGTCATGAAAGTTTCTTTTTTTATTATTTTCTTAAGATAAACAGAGTACAAAAAGAAGAAAAGTATATGTAAAATAAGGTAAAGTAGAACAAAGTTGCCAAAGGTTTTTAAACAAGTACAACCAATACATTCAAACCTACGAATTTATCTTTCTGTCATTCAGCACTCTATGGGAGTTCAGAAAAGAAGTTATTCTGTACACCAACAAATTTCTCAATCACTTTAACTGTCGTGGAAGTTCGACCAAGAAGGGCAAGGGAAACAAAAAGGAAACGCTGAGAATACTCCTGACATTGTAAAGTTCTGTCAGCAGAGAACACAGCAGTATACAAGGAACCCCCACACCACCTCTCTTTCCCTTTAAAACAGCATCTCATGCCAACCTCTTTTCACATATTGGGACAGATTTGTGCTTCCAGCTATGGACTTGCACTGGGCCACCATTATGCTAGTTTGGCTCTGGGTGAATAACCTTAGTTTTGAATCAGCTGTACGAGGCTTGCCTCTGTTTATTTTTAGTACAAGAACAACATTCCAATAAAGTGAGCATAAGCCTGAAGGAAAGTCTTGTTTCAGGAAGAAAAACCCAGATACATCTTGTTATTCTGTGCTTTTTGTATTCCTGATCCTACTTATTTATTAAGCCAGGAATCTATATTTTGGCTACTGAGCAGTCTAGGAGCTAAATAAATCAATGCAACCAGTATGCTCATTTACAGCAGGATTGTTTAATGTTATGGAGTACTTTACTCTGTACTGCTACATTTTCCTTTAAAGGTACCATCTTATGTAAGTTTAGACAGAAAAAGAGGAATACAGGGGGACTGGAAGAAACTTTTAAAATGTAGACTTTCTGTCTGGCATTCTCCAGATAGAGCAATCTTTACATATTATCTAGAAGAGCTCCTGCACCTGGAAAGTGCCTAAATTTCCACAAGTGGGGCATACAGGGCCTTCCTTGCTTGCCTTCTTTAAGTAATCTTTGTTCCAGTGCAGAGCTGGGGGATTTGTTTACACCCCTATGTAGTTAGATTATTATATCTATCATCTCTCAACATATTTCACATCACTTTTGAAGCCTAATGCTATGCAAATACACCAGACTAAAGATCTCATCATCCCCACCAGTTGCTTGAAATGATGGGTGTTGTTCTCCAACAAATCTGGAGGGCACCAAGTTGGGAAAGGCTTTTATGCTGCAGTGGGACACGTGTGGCCTCTCGATGTTGGTGGACTACAACTTCCACATTCCCTAAACATTACTTACACTAATTAGGGCTGATGGGGAGTTGCAGCCCAAACATCTGAGGAAGAAATTACTTGAAGGTAACTACTAGGACAATGTAATAATTTATCTACCCAGCTCAGTTTTGTCTGTTTTGAATGGCAGCATCTCTAGGATGTCTGGCAAAGAAGGGTGTTTCCCATCCCTTGCTTGCTACCTGACAGTTAGTGTGATGTAGCAGTTTGATGTGGACTGGGCCTAAGTCCCACTCTGACTCTCAGCCTACCCCGCCTCACACTGTTGTTGGAATGATAAAATTGTAGGAGGACAATGTAAGCCTCCTTGGACTCCGTGCCAGAGAAAATAAAGGCAAGATATAAACAGTCATCGATCAATATTATGAAAGGAATCCTTACTAACAGCAAGTTGTAACGGGGAGTTTCCGCGTGCGGCGGTCCCCACTCGAACAGTTACTTTCCGTTTCATTTTTAGCGGCGGAGAGGCCTGGAGTGGGATCTGCTACTCTGAGACTTGTGGTTCCCCAACCCAGCATCCTCAGGGTGAGTTGCCCACAGCCCCCAGCATCTCCCAGTCAGCGGGCCGGAGAGACGTTGAATTTGGCAGTTCAAGGCATCCGAAGGACTCCAGGTTGGGGAGGACTGCCAGGCCCTCTCGGCGCCGGCCACCTCCGCACGCACAAGGGCCTCCCCTGCACCCCGGGCCTACACCCCACCTCAGCCCAGCCGGGCGCCCCCTTGCCCCGTCCGTCTCTCCAGCCGAAGCCCGGGCACTGACCGCGCTTCATGTGGACGATGCTGGAGGCGGCGACGGTATCGGCGGCCACCAGCACGAAGTCGGGCCCTTGAATGCCGATGAGGTACTCCATTGCAGCCCAGCAGGCGACAGCAGACCGAGGCGCGGGATGCTGCAGGGGGAAGCGCGCTACAATGACACAGCGGGGCGTTAGGGAAAGCCGGTGCGCCGCGGCGCGGGATGATGACGTCACTAAAGGTGGGCGCTCCTCGCGAGAGCTCTTGAGCGAACGGAGGCCCTTCTAGACAAAGACTCTATGATTCGATGAGCGAGTCATGTGATCGACCCCCTCTGCCCTTTTTGTTTCGCAGTTTCTTTCCAAGTAGGCCCCGCCCACGAAGGATCGGCAGCTCGCGAGACTCGACTCGCTCACGTGACTCTCGCAAGGCCCGCCCTGCCCGCCTTGCTGCCCCCCTTTTCCACTGTAGCGTCTCTTCCTCGGCGGGTTTCGTTCCAGCTGCGAAGCCCAGCATTCCTGTGCGCGATGGCAGCTAGGGAGGTTGTGGTCTTACACTTCTGGAGGGCCCCATGTTGAAGAAGGCTGCGTTCGCCGAATCAAAGCCTGCTCGAACCTGGGGCCTCCAGAGGTGCTGGACAACTCAAATAATGCATCGCATATGACTCTCGCAGGAGCCAAGTTCATAACAGAGGCAACTGAAGAGAGGTCAAGACCCTTGTATTCTTTTCCGTTTCTTCTCCAAGCAGCTCCTGATGCATTTTGGTCTTTTGGGGACACCATTTTTAACTACTTCCCTGCCGCCCCTTTTAGAGCACCCTGCATTTTTGCTCCCTTCTCGAATGCTGTTTCATTCCCCTTACGCATCCTCCTTAACTCTTCTTTCAGATCCCATTGCTGACACATACCCCACTCTTTCTCGCAGGGTGCCCCTCTGCTCCTCTACAACTCTAGTCCCTGTGAGTTGAAAAGGGAAGTAAGGATACAGAGCAGCTAAAGGACAGGGGCAAGAGGCAGTCAGGGCTTCCTGCTTCCTGGATGTTTGCCTACAATCCTTGCCCATTCAGGAAGTATTCTCCGGGCACAGGATAAGCTCACCTACAAGAAGCACTGACCCATATGCCCCCATCAGAGACAGTGACATTGTTTTGTGGAACAAAGCCCTTAAGCCCTTTCCCTGTTAATTTTCAGATGTTTTCCCACTCTGACTCACTTCCACAGAGCATTTGGGATGCCCAGTGCTGCCTTACAAAAATAACTGAGCCCCTTTCAGGCTGTGACTGGTGCTTAATTGATTGTGTAGTGCTCTTGTTCATTTGGATTGCTTTCTGCTCTCACTACACGGCTTTCAGTTGCAGTATCTTTTGCAATCTGCCTTGGGGATTTAAACCGAAAAGTGGGGTATATGTTTTGGCATAAGATTTAGGGTTCATTCCTGCTGAGTTGCTGTAAACCACTGAATCCAGAGATTTACAGGTGTCTTATGGAGAGCGGGAAAAGCCGCTGCAGCCGAACCCTAACCCTTTGCCTCCCTGTCTTCCTGCCCTGTGTTTTCTGCTAGACAGGTTTTTTCACCTGTATTGTGGGCTCATCTCAGGTGAAGGAAGGAGGCTTGACCAGCCTCAGGATACCTTGTTTCCAGGCTCTCCCAGTTTCCTCCCTTCTCTGCCCCTTCTCTGCAGTTTTTTTGCTGACCAGGCGTGGTTCATTGTGTGCCAGCCATGAGTGGGTGGGAGAGTGGCGCTGGAATTCTGATTCGCAGCTCCGAGGCTGGAGTGTCGTGCTCTGGGAAGCAAGACACTGTGAAGAGGTCACAGGGTTGCTCTCTCCATCGCGACAGTCGGTCTGGCTCTGCTGGGGAGCTCTGGCTCCAAATCCCCAATCAGCCATGAAGCTCCCCCATCTTGGACCAGCGCTGTCTCTCAGCCTAACCCACCTTGAAGTGCCATCATCAGGTGGGGGTGGGGAAATGCACAGGACACCCTGAGCTCAGAAGCATGGTGAGATATGAATGCTAGTACTGAGAATCGGAAAAGGCTGCCTCCCTTGGTAACCTGGCTGCCTGGCCACCTTGCCTCCTTTCTCCTCCTTTCTGCCCTTGACTTTTTGACTCACTTCTCCTTTTGCTTTATTTCCCTTTCTCCATCATCACCCTAGGATTAGTGTGGGTGCTTGTTAACTCCCATAATGAAGGAAATGCAAAATCATAAAGGGAACAAAGACACTGATTGCCCCCAAACTGCAAACTAAGCAACATGTTTAGATGCACATCCAGAAATGATTGGGAGAAATTAAATAGAAGCACAGGAAAAGTCATTCTAAAGACTGTGACTGAGCACTGTGCATGCCAGCCTGTTCCTTTGGCTGCCCACAGTGCTAAGAGTGGACAGGCAACAGTCGAGCCGATTCTTCGTCTTTAAGCTGGACCTGGACAGGACAGTCCTTCCACCAGAGAATGGTCCTCTCTCAGTCCTTCCCTGTATCAAGGAAGAAACATGTTTGTGGTGGCCACCTATGGATTGTGTTGTGATTGTTTTTTTTCTTGCTGCAAAACCACCAGCCAGGACTTCAGAGCATGGCTGGCCCTGGTCCCATTATGCTGCAGCTTTAAAGACATGCCAGAAAACACACGCACCAGCGACAAATTGTCTTTAAGGAACAGTATAAATGAGAGTAAGGCATTCACCATTTTGACTGTTTTCCAATCGCCCACAGCTACACTTGTTAAATTGAGCGCCGCGTCTGTAAATCAAAACAGGATGTCTCTCTTTACCAAACAATGGCAAAGCCCCATGCCAGTTTCTAAGTGTGTGGATCCAATTTGAAGTTTTAAAATATGTTTTTCCTGTGGAGTGCGAGGAGCAGGGCATGCTGCACACAAAGCCAGGCTGCCTGACTTAGGGTTGCTGCAGCTGATCCTTTTCCAAAGGAGTTTAACCAAAACCTCATAGGGACTGAGAGAGGATTCAGCAACTATCTTGCTTGATGATTTTTACTGTGCCCAGGGGTGCAATTAAATGCTAATGTTGTTATTGAATTGTCTTGACAAATTGAATTTACACAAGAAGGAAAAATCAGACAGAAGGAAAACATATAGACCAAATTTTGCAAAGGAAGAGAGAAAAAATGGTTTAGATAAAGTCTTATGTGTCAAGAAGCTTGGTTCAAAGCTGGTTATGCATTAGCAAGCAGGGCTACAAAATGCGGAAATGCCTCTTTGCCTGACACCTCCAAATTTGATGCTGGTGTCCAAGAACCTCCAATATGGCTTTGGCCCTATGCAAAGCTCAGGGTGACACAGGTTTTTGGCATAGTCTGGCTGATGCAGAAGAAGATAGCAGCCTAACAGCCAGAGGGAGGTACTCGGATTCTGTGCACTACCATTTTAACTCGGCCCCCGTGCAGGACTGGGCACGTGGAGAAGCTATGGGAGTTTTCCTGAGCAGCTGGGAAACTGTAGTCCCTCTTGCCTTATACAGATCGGGGGTGGAAGGTGATCCAGTGCGGTAGAGGGTGACCATTGATGAATTGTTTCCCTCCTGAGGTATAAAATGTAATTTAATAATAAAAAAATTAGCAACCCCAACCTTTGCTTGGGTATTTGACATCATTCGATAGCTGACTTTCAACAATGTTTAGTATTTGCCTGTACTTGATAGTTTCACTGTCATTAGTATTTAACTGTATTTGGCTATTGACATAGAAAAATGAGGTTTCATATTTGAGACTTTTTAATAATCAAACCAATCAAGATTGCCAGTAAATCTGAAGTACTCACATTTCAAATTTGAAAGTTAGAAATGCAAACTGCAGAATGTTTACTGGTTTTGAATGCATGAAAAGCTTGTTTTTGCCCTGCAATTCACATTTTGTGCTAATTATAACATATTATGCCCCTACAAGAGTGACATACATCTGAAAGATTTGTTTGTGGTCGAGATCTGTGAACTCACTTGATATCAACCTCTATTGCAGTTTTCTGAATGTATTTGTCCTGGTGCTGTCGTTCACTTCCTGCACATGTCGTGGTTTTTAAAAAGTAAAACATAAAAGGAAAGAAGTTGCCAGCTGCCCCCCAAAAAAAAGAAAAAGAAAAAAAGCATGCATACACACAAACACACTTGCACACGCTCCTAAAGAATTCACATTTCAGCCTCCCTGGCTGGAAACCTCCCCTCAACCCACCCATCAAAACAGCACCTCTGATTCATGACCTGCAAATTGGGTTTGAGAACTGGGGAGCTGTCTGCAGCCGAGACAGAGCCGTTGCGTCTCCAAGGCATGGCCTCCACAGCTAGAAGAACAAAGTGTTTCCATGACAAGATGCTAGAATGCCCGTCATTCCACCTGACATGCAGGTAATACATCAGATTTTTTAAAAATAAGCCTCTGTGCTGAAAACGTCCTACACACAGAAAATCAAAATGGGAATAGTGGTTGTCCTGAGCTATTTTCCATGCTGTGCAGGAGTTGATTGTTTAGGGGATAATCCTATGAAAAGCCTCTGTTCTTTTAGACAGAAAAAGGGTCTACCACAGGATATCCCAGCCAGCTCTCCTGCATGGGGTTGGGTCTTTACTGAATTTACATGACCAGGCTAAAGGTGGTTCTCAGGCGGTCTCTGCTTGGCTTCAGTAAAGACACAACCCCTGTATCGTGCGCCTTCAGGCCAATACTCCAACTGGGACGCTTGAGGAATTTGAACTTGATGAATTGATACAACACTTCCCAGATGCAACGCAAAATAGCAGTAATTCAAAGTACATTTTAAACGAGAGAAAGAATAAGTTTAGAAAAATTTATTTATTTATTTATTTATTTAAAATTTTTGTATGCCGTCCCCTTGCTATATAGCCTCGGGACGGCTCACACAAATAAATAAATATAATACAAATACAGATAAAACCCGGAAGCACCCTGGCTGCACAACTAAAACCTATAAATATTATACGTTGTTAAAACATTGTTTGAATACAAAGGTGTTAGCCTGGCTCCGAAAAACAAATAACGACGGCGCCAGGTGGACCTCTCTGGGGAGCGCATTCCACAGATGGGGCGCCACAGCAGAGAAAGTCCTCCTCCCGGTACTTTGCTTCCTGATGTCTCTCTCGGAGGGCTCCAGAGGAGGGCCTCTGCTGCCGATCTCAAGGGGCGGGAGGGCAAATATGGAAGTAGGTGTTCCTTCAAGTATCCAGACCCCAAGCTGTTAAGGGCTTTGTAGGTG